CCTCGGCAGTATATTCCTGTCTCCACCGCCGCCGCAGCTGGTTCCCCCCAAATGCAGGGAGGCTCTCCTTACGCCTCTCCGCAGCAGGCCTCTGTCCAGCGACCCATGCGTCCTCCACTTCCGTCATATAATCAGGTGCTTAAAATATGCCTACTTATTTGCACTCAGTAGCTATTTTATTATCTCTTGTTTATACTTTATTTAGTTGCCTTTCCTTCTGTTTAGGCCCTGGCAATGAAACAGCAGCAGATGCCACCTGCCGCTTTTGCTGTCATGGGCGGCGCACATGATAGCCCTCGACCTGCTCATATGGTGCCAGGTGCGAATGCTGGCATTCCTTCCAGAGGTTAGTGCCATAAATTTCGCATTGCCTAAATTGTATTTATCGTGTTTGTTTAGTTGACATCGTACGCGCTCTCTACCCCAATTTAAGACACCGTGGCATGGCTCCACGTTGAACAAGTGGGCTACCTGTTATTAGGCTGTTTAATGTCAAAGCATTTTACCGATATTTTGGCCTCAACTTTTCTGATTTTGCAGCAATTGGGTTTTAAAAGAAATGTTTCGGTTCACCTCTTTTGCGGACATTTGAAACCCTATTTTTGTCAGTTTTTCTGAGATCCAGATAATCCCTACCTAATGGTTTCGTCTTTTCAAGGTGATAAAGACGCCTGAAACTGTCTTCCTCGCTCTGCAACCGTCATGGGGGATTGTATTGTTCAAGGCAGGGCCCTAAATCCCTGCGCATTGATATTGTTGTACTTTTTTGGAAAACGCAGTCTTATTCACTCTTGCGCAACTGACCTGATTATAACCAGATTTTCAAAAGGGAAACTCATTTGATTGTTTCCTTTAGCACTTGTGTTTTGATTTACTTCGTCTTGATACGGCTATGATCATTTCCGATCTAACGGGCCTGGACGATGTCACGCCTTTTACCTTTCCACGCCTGTTTATACGTGGCAGCGGATCCGGACAACTTAACCTTATCTCTTCCCCGGCGACGGGTCCAAAAACCCACTTCCCTTATATTGAGGAACTTTGTCGAGCCAGCTTTTGAGCTGGCTTCCTATTAGACACCTGGTTCTAGAACAGCTACCCTGAACTCGTAAGGTGGACGACTTATCGCAGGAGGTTAAGTAAGTTAAGCCATAGTAACTGCAATCTTCAGGCCAGGTTCTTGGGAGATGAGAATTAATGGAAAGGCCAGACCGGTAGGAACAGTATATTCTGTGCAGAGGAATGGAGAATACATAGGATGGATTTGGCTGTCAGAGCGCTTGTCCATCCGCTAGGGCAGCTTTACCCGAACTCAGGACCACAAGCTCCAATAAATACTCCCCATCAGACAAGTAGCAATGTTGCTGAACTGACCTAACTACAACTTTGAGTCCGCGCACTCCGTGTTTTAGCAACTCCCCGGCCTGAGCGCCACCACACCGTGGGTTATTTCAAACGAGCACTCTCTGTAGAGCACGAGCTTGGACGCTTCACTTACGTGATGCTGATTAGTGCGCATCTGGCGATGATCTGGTCGGTCTGGATCGAGTCGATTTTGCAGCTAAAACTCCTGGTCTTCTCTTGCTTTTGTGTTTTAAACGGAACTACATTACCGACAAAGACAAAGAAGACTGCAGTGGCCATTTCTGGCTTTTTGACCGTCGTCAGCCATCCATGTCCAACCCCGGGGGTTGGTTGGTTAGTAGCCCTTTTTGGATCAGGAGTTCCCGCCGGAGTCCAAACTAGGTGCAGTTGGGAAACGGAGAAAAGCCGCGACCTCGGCCGGCTTGAGCCAAAGGTCCTCGGGGGTG